GGATATTTTGTTATCTAACCCCACTTTTCGTCGCTTCATAGTATTATTTTTATTTATCACCATACCAGTGATCACGTGACATGTGTCAAAATCGATTTTCAAGTTATCGGATATGCATAATGGATCGCCGAGAGAAAAAAATTCGATGATGTGATAATAAAACTGTTCTCATATGTTATGGACTTTATGGATGGTATATATCTGTTAGTAAAAATCTCTGTCATGCTTGAAATAACAAAGTCTTGTCAAAATACGATCGAACTTTTCAGTTTAAACTAGTTAAAATCAAAGGTATAATAGTGCAATTTGTCTCATTTTTAAAAATTTTAATGAATTCATTACTTTTTCGAAAAAAGTCAATGGAATTAATTCACGAATTAAATCACTGATTTAATTCATATGAATTAATTCATGCCAACCCTGTACTAGAGTCCCTCATTCTGCAAATGCACCACGTGATATTACGATATCTCATGTTATTATTAAGTATTTCGCCCTTCTCTATGATGATCAGTTTATTTTCCTCAGGTTGCACTTTTCTTTTTGATTTGTCAAAGTAATTTCTTTAAGGGAATGAAAGTCATTAGGTATTGCAAGCTTCTGATTATACGGCAGTTTTCGCAGAAAACACAGGGTTACTTCGTGATATTGTTCTTATTTTTTCTTGCATATTACGAGTCATAACTTGGCTTAGTTTTTGATTCTGTGATTGCTCCTGACAAAATACGCACTTTTGTGAATCAAAAGGTGTCCGCAAGGGACGTTTTTGAAAAATATCTGCTCTACAAAAATCTGCTGGAGAATCAGCTGTCAGTTTGTTATTTTTTGACTTGTACGAGGCAATGTTCTTTGAGCTCGTATACGATTTATAACGGTTTTTGTGCCATTTTAAAAAACTTTGATTTTCTAATTCATCAAACTTTGAGAATATATGCCGCATATATTTGTCATCATGACAATTTGTCATACGTTCTTTCGTGAATTCAATGAATTTTTTTTTTGATTTTTCATGAGAGATAACCAGCTTTCCTCCTTCCAAACAAATAAGACACACATTTTGAATAAAAACGTCTTGTCCATTGACAGTTTTACGAAAAGAAGCAAGTCTTAATTTGATTTTCGACTCTAGTTCACTGTCAGAGCTGCTGCTGATCGTTAAATCCATTTCTAGAGGATACAAAAAAATACTAACTGTACCTAATACTCACTAAGTAAGTTCTAAATATTGTTAACTTAGCAATAAGTTATTATTCGCTTTTAATAATATGATTTATAGACAAGAACTTGATCACTCATCACTAGTAATCTCAGTAGAATCAGCGCTACCAGTACAATGCATTCGAATTTACAACAAAACAGTGAATTCACGGTAAAATCGACCGTATCAACATCGCCCTCAGTAGAGTGGATTTTCGGTTGACACAGGCATAGCAATCTCGCCCTTCCCCGTATCTCTGCGCTAGCCGCCGTTCGTCGCGACATGCCGTTCGATTTATTCAATTTCCTCGTGAACCAATTATCCAATCAAAATTCTAAAAAAACCAACATGTTCTCTGATGTTTGGTCTTTAACGTTTATAGAAAGTCTTTTTTTGCTAGACCCAATACTTTTCGAGGTAGAGCGAGTTAAATGATTTTAAAAATATGGGTGTCTAGGGCAAGCGGTTTTGTGTGAAGGCTCTCCATATACAACAATGCTGCGACGTATTTTTATAAATTAAAAAAAAATATTTCTGATATCCGGATGGGTATGCAAATTCGAGGAATGAATTATCTCACATCTTAGATCTGAAAACCGATGAAAAAAAAAATTGGCTTTTTTTTAAAAAAAGGCTCCCCCCACTCCCCTCCAACTACGATTTTTGGACGACCAAGTGATTTTGCATTGCAAAGGTCTTAGGAATGATAAAAAATGGGTTTTACATTTTAGCAACAAAGTGCCCACGAAAATCTATTCTAGAAGCCTTTTGCCAGTCTATTTACTCTACTATAACACAAAACAAAATTATTGAAGCCAATGCTCGATATGAGTACCATGTGATTCAAAGTGAGCATTTTGCTGTTTTCGATTCGAGAAGAATTACACATTCATTTCCTTTTTTTTTGTTAATTGCAGTCGCGCAGTTACGGAGAAACTACAAGATAACAAGGATATTCTTAAAGAACCATAAATTGCATTCTGTTTTTTTTTTGTCATGGAATTGAGCATTACAATTTATTTTCTTGAACACGTAGCATTATCACGTAGGTACCTCAAGGCATATCTTCAGTTTTTCGCAAATATATCTATATACAGGGTGGGGCATTAGTGCGTCGGAGCTCGATTGCTCGAGTTCTATGATAGCTAGAAACCTGATTCAAAAACGAATTTGAATGAGATAACAAGGTCCATAACTAGAAATCATTGCCGCATATACAGGGCGCACCAAAAATAATCTAGAGGGTCGAGATCAATTTTTTTTATTGGAATGCCCAGTTTATTTGCATATTTTTTTAAGCATCCCTGTGATCTTCATCCACTCCTATAATATCGTTGACTATATCTCTTTCGTATCAAAGTTATGAATTTTTTGGTCGAAATAATGTCATCTGCAGATGACTACTGAAAATATCACTGTTGTCACAATTATGAACTTCAAGAAAAAATAATCTCAATATCATTTATTGAAAAAATGAGTGACATTTCTGAAAATGTTTCAAGCTCTCAAATGATACAGGGTGGCTAAAAATGATTTTTCAATTCGGAACTTTTCGAATTGATTTTTCTCGAGTTTTTCAAATGGAACACCCTATATATTATTTGACCATTTGATGTAAAATTGAAACACGAACATATTTATTCGAACATCCATATTGATATTCGCAAACATTTTTGAATTTTTGAACTTTGGAAATTTTAGGTTGGTCATTTTCATCGATACACATTCTAATCTGTTATTGGAACATCAAAAGTTCAATCAACAATTTAGTAAACCAATTCTTTATTGAAAGAATCGATGTCAGAACCAAAGCAGACATGAATAGGTCATAATTATGCTAAATATTTACAAAGTAGAGACGGAAAAAAATTAATTTCTCAATTATTCTGGTTCTGCTTTCAATGTGCCATGAATTTATGGGATACTTGAGAAATGCAAATTTTGTCTCTTTTTACTTTGTGAATAACTAGCATATGAACTTTTGCTATTTGCTTCGATTCTCGTATCGATTTTTTCTTCGAAAAATTGGTTAACTAAATTGATAAATGGACTTTTGATGCTTCAATGACAGATAAGAATCTGATTCGATCAAAATCGCCAACCTATAATTTTCAAAGTTCAATAATTCAAAAATGGTTATGAATATCGATATGGATGTTCAGATGAATATGTTAGTGTTTCGATTTTACATCAAATGGTCAAAAAATATATGGGGTGTTCCATTTGAAGAACTTGTGAAAAATCACTTCGAAAAGTTCCGAATTGAAAAATCATTTTCAGCCACCCTGTATCATTTGAGGGCCTGAAACATTTTCAGAAATGTCACTCATCTTTTCAATAAATGATATTGAGATTAGTTTTCCTTAAATTTTATAATTGTGACAACAGTGATATTTTCGGTAGGCATCTGTAGATGACATTATTTCGACAAAAAAATTCATAACTTTGATATGAACGAGATATAGTCAACGATATCATAGGAGTGGATGAAGGTCACAGGGATGCTTAAAAAAATATGCAAATATACAGGGCTTTCCATTTAAAATAATGATCCCGACACTCTAGATTATTTTTGGTGCGCCCTGTATATGCGGCAATAATTTATAGTTATGGACCTTGTTGTCTCATCCACATTCGTTTTTGAATCAGGTTTCTAGCTATCATAGATGTCGAGCAATCGAGCTCCGACACACTAATACCCCACCCTGTATATTGTAGGTGGGGTATCGAATAGCCTGACTGATGTTATACAGGTTATTAACAAATATGTGTGTCACAACGGATAACTACTATCTTAGGGACCGTTTGAGCTACGGAGTTAAGCCTTCGTACACACTTCAACATTCAAGGGCTCTTGTTCAATTTCATTAGACATGTCAGTGAAGGAGAATTCAATGCCTCGTAAGGGTTTAACCCCCCAAACGTTCATGCCACTGGAGAAATTGTTATTCTCAAATAGATTCTGAAGCGCCAATATCTTTCACACAAAAAACGTCCTCTTGTCTCAATGCTCTAAAGTGAACAGTTTTCGCGAAAATGGCTCTTCATGAATAAGAAAGAATATACAAAATCCTGATGGTATCTCCAAGAATCGTCTAAAAATCCACTGTAAATAAACACCTCAGAAGTGTCTCATAATATGTTCAATCAGATGTCAGGTTCTTGAGTATGCTGGTTTCGATGCTGGTTTTCAAGTTGTCAAGTTTATTAAGTTTTGTAAAGTGTCTTTAAATAAAAATGAACATTCTTGATATTTTGACGCCCTGTATCTTGAAAACGGAAGCCCAGAGAAAAATTTTGAAAAGGAAAGAAATGTTTTATTCATTATGAGGAATCTACAGTTTTCCGTTGTGACACTTATTTATTAACACCCTGTATAGGTATCATTACGACAATTCGTAGGCCACTGCTTGACGAAATGCAAATAATGAAACGTCGCCTGATTACATTGATTGATCTGAAATAGTAAGTATGTATAGCGAGTTTCATTCTTTTAAGGACGCGGGTTCTGAAGACATTGATATGAATCTTGATTTTTTCGTACTTTCAGACACCCTGTATCTCAGAGTGGATGTATTTTAGGAAATACGTCGATAGAAACCTTTCACCTCAAAATGAGGTACTCAAACGAAATTTGTTGGTCTTATTCTGACTCATTTTGTTTGCCTTCAGTGGGACGCACCCCTTGAATCTCCAATTACCCGATAACAAAAGGCTCAGAGACATCAGTAATTATCATCAAATCAAATTATAGAGCAGTTTCGACTTATTCCCAATGCAAAATCATGCCTCAAAGTATTACTTTTTCCTTTCAAATTTTTCGACTCCCCGGCACCAATATCCCGAAAATCATAACACTGGCAGCTGTCTTCTTCAGTTTGACGACGACTTTGACAGGAACAATCTCTTTTACTTTCTATCATCCCCTCTGAGAATCCGAAACCTTTTCGCTTTTCCACCATGTCTGTCAGATCCTTTATCATTTTTGCGGCTCCAGTCAATTCCGGATGTTTTGAACATTCCTCGCACGGTGCGCTCTCTTTCAAAGTTTTACTGAGTTTTCTGGCGATAACGTTTAAACTTGAGTCGCAGCTGAACTTTCTTCCGGTACACGGAAATTCAGGTGCTCCTGAAAAATAAAGATTACGTCAGTAAATTTTCTGCCCAATAAAATCGAAATTGTTTCCCGAATAGTAAACCTTGGCCTAAAACTAGCCTTTGTGTGTTGTTGTATATGCGAAGAAATATGTTCTGCCTATTTTATAACAAATTCGCGAAAGAAAATGAGCGTACGCCACCTATCGGAGTTTTTTGAAGATGTCAAAGCGGTCTGTTTACTTTGTTCGCATTGGTTCACATTTGTTTTTTGTTTGTGCTCATTGGTCACATCCACGAAAACAAACCGCTCAGAAGTGTTCAAATATATTGTCGTCAGATGGAGCGACGTGTTATTTTTGATCGCGAATTACAATGTCCGGTGGAAATTGCGATGAAGGTATAGTCATCAGTTTGTTGTTGAATATATCTCTACCAGCCTGCGCGAAGTGTACCGTGCAAATTTGAAATCAATACTTGTAAATATAGTGGTATTCCTCCACCCAATTTTGTTGCATATTGATAGTTCTATTTGTAGTAGTAAGAGCCAGATCGACTCATAATTATATTCACCAATAGTAGATTGTTTATTTAGAATCAAAATTGACACTTTGAGTCAAACAAAGTCACTTTTGATCTGAATAAAATATGCTATTTTTCCTGCAACCGAAAGAATTCACTGAAATAAATATGTGAAGTAACCATCACCAATGTGACTTACTTGACAGATTATAAGAATACCATTATTATAATAATATAGGTATGTATGTAGAAGCAAGACTTCAAACAACTGTACATTATAGATTATTGGTGGATGATGACTTTACTTTGTTACAATTTGTGTTGACATGCATCATCCGATAAACTACACAACTACAGGCACGAATTCAATAATATACTCGAAACGTGGATGCCGTGCCATATGTATGCAATGCAACAAATAATCCGTGTGGTGAGAATATTCTACCTGCATCTACAGATCAGGTTTATTCAATTCTCAAGAATGATCGAATTTTATTTTCAATATAAATACAACCACAGACTGACTCATTCATGTATTCTATTGAATCGATGAATAGATGAATTCATTTGGAACAGGTGTCAGCCGTAATAGCAAATACCACGCCAGTGCCAGGTATGGAAAAAAGAAGTGGAAAATGTTAGGACATAGTGCGCATATCAACAATAATAATAGCGATTATTCATTTCTCTCTATATTTCACCGTGTTTGGCTTGTCAATCAAATGAAGTTAAACAATATCGTTGTGTGACACAAACAATTATTGCTGGCCGTGATTATTCAAAAACAAGTTATCCAATCAATCAAGCAAGTATGTGAATCTCGAACGCTTTCTTGGTCAAAACAAAAAGTTTCAACTATAATATGGCGTATTTATACCTGCATCATCTCTTTGAAATGCTAAATCTGCGTAAATCGGGAACAAATCAGGTATAAATCCCAACCTAAATAACCAACCATTACAATGTTGTTTATTCTTGATGACCTATAGAAGATCCTTTTTAGGAACTGAAAGTTTTGTCCAGCAACATACCTATGTTTGCGTCAGTAATAGAAACGTCAATTAGAGAGCTGATTTTGATATTAAATCATTTTTTAAAAATATGTTGGACATCCTGTATCTAGAAAACTATGGATTCTTGGACCTATGTCCACATAAACATTTCGTCACAGAATCGCCAAAGAATCATCCGTTGACGTTTGGACAGATACTTCAATAGCACCCTCTGTATAAAAGTAATATGAATCCATAAATCACTGAACCTCCAATGATTGATTGATTGATTGATTGTCTTTTTTACCCCAAGAAACATAGTTGTTTATAATAGGGATACATAAACAATATACATAATGTTATACATACAATTATGAAATTATAATAATATATAACAAGTAAAAAAAAATGCAAATAATCATGCAATATCAACCTTGTCTTTTATAAGTAGGTATTCAAATAAGAAATTGAATTATCAAAGTCTCTGAAGCAGATATTTTTTCAAGTTAATTTTGAATCTAGTTGCTTCCTGTATATTCCTCAATTGACTTGGTAATGAGTTGTATAGAACGATTCCTCTGTGAAAAATAGATTGTTTGCCGATATTTGACTTGAACGTATTTGCTATTAGTAAATTTGATTGTCTTGTTCCATGATTATGTAATGAATTGATTTCATTGAAATTTAAATTCGAAATTTTCAATTTATATAGGACAAATTGAATAAAACAACATATTTTAAGTTTATATAGTGAAGTCAGATCTAATAAATCTCTAGGTTTGTATAAATTCATGGTTGGTTCGAGAAAATTTAAATTGAAAATACACTTCAATGTTTTATTTTGTAATTTCATTAGTGGACTCAAACGTGAAATATTGGTACTTCCCCATATAGATATTAGGTATTGAAATTTTGAGTGAATAAGAGAGAAATACTCTTCAAGTATCTAGTAGAAATGAAATTTCGTATTTTGAATAAAATGCCTGTAATAGGATTAAGTTTGTTTCTCAAATGATCTATATATGTTTATTCCACAATAGTCGTTCATCAATATAAAGACCTAAAAATTTTTGTAACATCTGTATATTTGATGAGTTTATTGTTGAAGGATAGTGTTCTATTTGAAATGTTCATGCAATGTTCTTTTTGCTATGTACATATATGAGGATTTGTTATAATTGAGAGATAGTTTATGAACTTGTAACCAAGAGGATATTTTTTCTAAATCACTTTTCATGTCCATGATTCAAACAGTTATCTATTCAATCGAAGAATCCGAGTCATCAGAGCAATACTCTTTTTTTAAATGAATCGAACCTCTATATATGTTATGTTATACATAGAGTGAGTCAGAGTACGACCGACAAACTTCGTATGCGGATTCCCAACCTCATTTTGAGGTGAAAAGTAACTATCAACTTATGTCCTAAAATACATTCTATCTGGAATACAGTGTCAGAAGTACTAAAAAAATTGAGATTTATATTAATTTCTTCCGAACCCCTATATATAGTGTAGTATGCTACTTGAGGTAGGATCGCAATGATAAACTTGAGACGTACAATAAACACTTATAGTCAGCTTCTCAGTAATACCACTTATCTTTACGCTCACCAGATGAATAATGATCAATTCTACCTCATACCGTTTACATTACATGAAACTATATTAGTCACTGAGTATATGAGTCGAGTCAGATGCCTTTCCATAGGCAAGGATAAAAAAATAAATGTACATAGGTCAATAAATATTCAACAATATCAAATTATCACAAGAGAAAAATTGTCAATTGACAAGATCCAATCCATAATATATAGTGTACTGAGCATTTCATTCAATACGCATAATTATTTATATTCATACATACTTATTCACAATTATTATTAAAATTTTTCTAATGATATTATTGAATGTTAATTAAAGAAATAAGATAATTTTAAGGGGAGTTCAATATATCCACTATATTAGTCACTGAGTATATGAGTCGAGTCAGATGCCTTTCCATAGGCAAGGATAAAAAAATAAATGTACATAGGTCAATAAATATTCAACAATATCAAATTATCACAAGAGAAAAATTGTCAATTGACAAGATTCAATCCATAATATATAGTGTACTGAGCATTTCATTCAATACGCATAATTATTTATATTCATACATACTTATTCACAATTATTATTAAAATTTTTCTAATGATATTATTGAATGTTAATTAAAGAAATAAGATAATTTTAAGGGGAGTTCAATATCCAGTTTTTTATTTTTATTGTAAAGGATTGTAGTGATTTTATTTTTATAATATCATTCGGAAATTCATTATATAGGTGAGGAATTTAAAATTTATAATTCCTACGTCCAAATAACTTGTTTGTTTTATATTTTAATGTTATGTTATTTTTATTTCTTATGTCATAGATGTTTTTTGAACTGAATGTCCTTTTTATTTTTGAAAATATAAATCAGTAAATGGTAAATATAGAGTTGATTTATATCCATTTTCTTAGATTCCTCATATAAAAGTTCAGTTGGAAACAAATAATCTTTTCCATAAATAATTTTTAAAATCCATTTTCGTGCAATTTCAAATGTCCAATTTCCTCGAATATATCTGCTTCACTCCACCCCATCCTAATATCCCATAAACTAATTGAGATTGAACTAAAGCATATCATTTCTTAATTTCGAATATTTAATGAGTTTTTCAAATGTTTGAATTTAGGAATGGAGCATCTTATTTTCTTAGTGACATAATCAATATGATGATCCCATTTCAAATCATTGTCCACCATTATATCAAGGTATTTGATACAGTCAGTTTCCTAAATTTCAATGTTCTTAACATTCAAAAATATACAGGAGGTTGGGACATTTTTCGATATCTCGTGCAAGATCAGTGTTTTGCGGTCATGGCACGCAGAAAGTTGGATATCTACTCAATAACCTCAAGGCAAATCATTAGTTGTGGAATGATATTACATCTAGGTAAGATAACGATGAGCCTAACTGATGTCATAGACCAATAATTTGATATTTCATCTATCTATGAAGAAATATGAAAGAAAAAGTGGCAACATACGACCATAAAACTACTCCACTGGTTGATCAAATTCAATAGGTACTGAAAACTTCGAGTGATTACGTTGATTATTCTGGAATAGTATATCAAGTTTGAATTTTTTTCCTACAGGGGTTCCGAAGAAATAAAACTCTTTTTTATTGCGTACTTTTGACACCCTGTATCTCAGAGAAGAGGCATTGTGGAGAATACGTTGATGGAAACTTTCAACCTCAAAATGAGTTTAGAAATCCGTATACGAAGTTTGTCGGTCTTATTCTGACTAACCCTGTATATTTCAAGGAATTTTTCATTTGCTAAAAATAATTAATAATCTTGAACCAAATTGCAGACATATTTCGAAATTCAAAATTGAATTAAAAAAACACATGATTTCATTACAAAATAGATAAAATTGATACTTTGCCATCTACTGATTAGACCCTGTGTGGCTATTTTTATGACATGATCGACTTAGCATTTTTAGATTTTTAAGATTGTTTGTTGTTGTCACCTTATATTATTTTATTATTGTTATTTGAAATCAACTTCCTCATACCAGAATTTTATTCCTTACTGGAAGCTATAGTTCTTCAATAAACAATAAACAATAATCTATAATGAACCATCTCAAATCGATCACACATAGGTACCTAATTAGTAAATCAAAATCCGCTATTTCATTAAATACTTGCTCAAATAATCGATTCTGAAGAATACCTATACATTTCCTTATTTTAATTTCCAAGATATATCTTCAAAGGTCACAAGCTCTGGAACAACTACTCGCTAGTCGCTACATGTAATAATGTTTGCTGACATTCCATATGTACATAATAGTTATTTGTTTTATTTGGCTGGTTTCCTAGCCTCGGCTACGCCTTGGCTATGAAACGCTAGCCGCGGCATTAAATCTTGTGCTTTTCTGCCGTGTGAAACATATAATTCTGTTCTCCTAATTCATTCAATCTTTAACATGCAATAAAATTAGATCAAAACTGGTCTGGGATTGCCTTCAAAGCCTGCTAACCCTGGCTAACCACAACAAGGTAACTCTTCAATGGGTGCCAGGGCATAAGGGAATTGCAAGGGTCTGTGGCGTTGTTTATGGGACCGGAACCTGTGTTCGGTATCCCCAAAACCTCAATACGCGGCTGGCTGGCAAGGTGGATGCAAGAAAGACATCAGGCATACTGGAACAATGTCCCAGGACAAAGACACAGTAAACTGATGGTTGGAACACTGTTCAAAACAGTGACTAACGACATTCTGAGCATTGTCTGCATATTTAGCAAATAACGAGACTAATAACCGGTCACTGTCCCTTGAGGAAACATATGCATCAAATGGGCATCTATATAGACGAACCTATATGCAGACTATGCAATGAGGAGGAGGAAACTGCCACCCATGTAATATTCGAGTGCGAAACACTAGCGCGTTGGAGATACAACCTTCTGGGAGCAGTACTCTCAAGAGGTCTTTCCAAAGAATGATTTGGTGAAGAGGCTGCTAAACCTTATCAAGGTAGCGCACCTGTTCACCTTAGTCAATAGCATGATCAGGAATACAATAGGCCCAAAGGCTGCAGTGTTTTGGGCTTCGAACCCTAACTGATCATTCTGCTATTAATCAATCAATCAATCAATCTCCTAATTCGTCCAATTTCACGCAAACTCCAAATAATCCATCATTTTGTGATTATCCAACGTCAGTGTCAAGTTCGATTACTAATTTGATTTGAATTATCACTTGGAACGATGCATAGCAAGAAACTTCTTCTGCCTCGGCAGTGAAAGTACACCATTACACCTCGTTTATCAATATTAGAGTCACTCACCCCCCATGTTAGTTCTCTTCGTCAATCTTCTTATCGTATCAGCTTCATTCAGCTTCTGTTTGAGTAAATCTTCTTCTAGCTTGGCGCACATGGTATCGAGAGATTTCATTTCTTCTTTCAACCTAACAATTATAGTTATTTTCACGTTATACGCCATGGTATTATTAAAGAACATCCACATCGCCCTGGTCTCAAGATTAAATATTTAGTACTAATGTGATGGAAGGAATAGTATGGTATAGTATACAGGCTGAGTCACGGTGGATGGCCTAGTAGAAGTATTTGGAGAACGAAAAGACAAAACATTCTGAAAATTGGGATGCTTCGATAATTAAACATTCTCTTTTCGTCTAAAATGTTTTCATGGATACAGTGTTGCCACTTCTATCAGAAACAACTAGCAACTTTGTTATTTCGAATGGAACACCCTGTATTTCATTGCATTTTCAGATTCTTCCTGAGGAGCAGATTTCATCAATGTATCACACTCGGGGTCTAGTAGAAATGATTACAGATATATAGGGTAATCAAAATCTAGATTTTTCAATTTTATGAATTCTTTGTGTCGAAACTATTCATTATTGATCAAAACGGCTTATGTCCCTATCTTAACTTTTGCTTCACTATCTACTGGAATTTGATTGAAAAAAATACAGGGTGCTTCCAGATTCAGAATTCGGATCACCCTGTATCTATGATGGGGACATGTAAACCATTTTGATCGATAATGAATAGTTTCGACACTAAAAAATCCCGAAATTGAAAAATCTCGATTTTGAACACCCTATATCTCTGTAATCATTCCTGCTAGACCCCAAGTGTGATACATTGATAAAATCAGCTCCTCAGGAAGAATCTAACAATGCAATAAGATACAGGATGCTCAATTTAAAATAACGATGTTGCTATAGTTGTTTCTGATAGACAAGTGACTCATTTATTTCCGCGAATTGTTCGATTTCCGACGAAAACAATTTGATTCGACAAATAGGTACAAGATTTTATTGGTTGATTGATTAGCTCTTGATAATAGAATATCTCATCAGCAATGTTCCAGTTAAGTTCAACCAATCAAAGGAATCAAATGGATGTATTTATTTCTTGTTCTGGAGTACTGGAGTAAATAATAAGGGCATACTTTAGTTTAGGTAAGTGCGAAAATGAAATGATTTTTTTATGTTGAATTTTCATTACTGAATCGTGAATATCATCTTCAAGAGGCGCTTATTCGCACTTGCATTTGGGTGACATTCCTCAAATGTTTTTATTATTTTTTATTGTTCCGGCTAGCACCAGCAAAGGCCTCGAACAACAGAACTGTTGTTATCGTCCATAAGTACGTAATTGGACCGCAATATTTATATTTGTTGTTGAGATAAAGTTGGTGTTTCTAAATTCAAACTCCTCTTCAGAATCTCCAGATAATGAATAAATAAGTTGATAGCTCGTCCAAAAATATTTAAAAAAGTCGCCATTTACTCACCCTCTGAAATGCACCATTTTCGAGATAAAGGGTGTTGAACAAAAAACATTTTTTGCGAGTATCTCTGGAACCGTTTATCGCACAGAAAACAGCTTTCGTGGGCATTTTATACATACACATAATAAGCAATGTTTATTGATGCGGATCTTTCTTCAAATCATAATTGGATAATGGGGTAGTGAGTGTTTTTCTCTCCAACTTCTAGGCCAATGGAAAAAGTACAGTTTTGAGAGCCGCCCATTTGAACGGCCAATGTTTTTTACTCATAAAAAATACTCCTGGTCATCAGCTCTGAAGTTGATCGTTTTCGTTTTTCGAGAAAAATTAACTTTTATGTTCGAAATCATGGTCAATTTCTTGAAAAAAATAGTAGATTATTTTATCAGGATCAAAAGTGACACTTTGTGCTAAACGCTCCGCCTCGCAAATGCAAAATTTGCGAGTCGAACAAAGTCACTTTTCATCCGAATGAAACATGCTATTTTTTCTGCAACCGAAACAATCAACTCAAATAAACATGTGAAGTAACCACCAATGCCGTGCCATATGTATAAAATGCAACAAATATTGACAAATAATCCATGTGGTGAAAATATCCCCTTGAGAATATTCTACCTGCATTAACAGCAGGTAAGGTTTTCAAGCATGTTCGAATTGTAGTTTCAATATAAATACAACCACAGAGTGACATATTTGTGTATGGACCAGGTGCTCTAATGGCAAATACCGCGCCAGTGCCAGCTATAGGAACAAGACGTGGAAAATGTTAGGTTAGTGAGCATATCAACAATGATAATAGTGATTATTATTCCTCTCCACACTGTGATTGACTTGATAATCAAATGAAGCTAAACAATATCGTTGTTTGAGACGAAAAAAACTATTGCTTGCCGTGATTATTCAAAAACAAGTTATCCATCCCGAGAATAACCAATGAAATATAGATCAAGCAAGTATTTGAATCTTGAAGGCTTCCTTGATCAAAACAAAAATACTTAACTGAGATGTGTATAATTCCAATACTAAACTATAATAAGGTGTATTTATATCTCCAGCATGGGTATGAAATGCCAAATCTGCTGAAATCGGAAACAAATCAGATATGCGTCTCAACCCAAATAACCAACCGTCACAATGTTGTTTATTCTTGATGACATCCAGTACATCCTTTTTAGTTCCTAGGAGCTAAAGTTCAACTTTAGCTCCTAGGAACTAAAATTCAACTTCAGCTCCTAGGAACTAAATATGTTGCCTAGCAACATACCTATTTTTGTGTCAGTAATAGAAACGTCAATTTAAGAGCTAGTTTTGGTATCAAAATGGACGACTTTTGTGTCGGTTGCAGAAAAAAAAGTTTTTACTACTATGAAATTCATTCGAACTTAAGAACAAGTTACAGAATCAAATTTTAACTTCATATTGCAAATAAAAAAATTAATAACAATCATACTCAGTTGAATTAATAATTATTGTTTGAAATGTCCGCGGTTAGCTTCAATGCGCCAGCAGCAATTCTTCAAAAGATTTACCATGAATTTCAACATAAAAGTAGATTTTTTTCTCAAAAACATTCAACTTTAGAGCTCATAACCAGAAGAATTTTTTTTGTGTAGAATTCATTGGCTGTACAGAAGGGCGGCTCAAAAATGTACTTTTCCCAGTGGCGTAGAGGATGTGGAGAAAAACACTTACTTATAAAGAAAAACTTTTTTTTATTGCATGGTGCATTTTAGTAAAAGCAATTTTTTTTATATTTTTGGATGAGCTATCACATCCTGAAGTCATGCGCATATATTATGAAACACCCTGTATATACAGGGTGGGCCACCAGTAAGGCCTCGGTCTCTAGAAGGCTAAACACTCATCTTCTTGGAATTCTTCCTCTCTAGGAAGTTGCATGTCAACATAGGCTACCATTTGAAATTATTTCAAAACATACAGGGTGTCCCCAAAAACCGCAAAACACTGAAGTTATACTTTTTTTAATTGAACACCCTATATATTGTTATTCGATTAAAACAAATACCAGGTGGTTCAGGATAGAGATTTTCGAACACCGTGTATCTGTTTTGATTGAATACCAATCGATAGTGAATAAAAAATTGAGATAGGGATAAGTAAATCATTTTGACCAATTATAAATAGTTTCGACACAAACAATTCCTGAACTTGGAAATCTTGATTTTTCACACCCTATATCTCAGTAATTATTACTGCTAGACCCCAAGAGTACGAAGGGTTGTTGAAATCAGGTATTCTGGGAGAATCTCGAAATGAAATAATTTATGCGGTGTTCCATTAGAAAAAGTATAACTTCAGTGGTGTTGTTTTGGGGGACACCCTGTATGTTTCGAAATAATTTAAAATGGTAGTCTATGTTGACATGCAGAGTCCTAAAGAAAAGGAATTTCAACAAGATGAGTGGTTAGCTTTCAAAAGGCCGAGGCGTTACTGGTGGCCCACCCTCTTATGTTAAAGATTTTATGAGAATTTCACTAATTATATCATTCATCGATATTACCTTTTATTGATACTGTTGAGCTCTGTCATATTGGAACAAGCGAGGCATAGTTGTAATTTCAAAGAGTTTGTTTCTCGGAGGTAGGAGTCTTGGCTGCCAATCATATTCTGCGAAGCCTGGTTCAAATCTTGTTGGAGATGCTCGCACCGTAATCGCTCTGTCTCAAGTTTTTGTTTGATGGGACCTAACAGAAAATTGTAATATGAAATTGAATCTGCTATCACTTCATGAGTAATCATCACAAAAATGAAAGGTGAAAGTGATGAGTCGAATAGCGTTTCCATTAGCCGATTTTTGGAGCTTTCAAGAACTAGAACATGTCTAGCACCGAGCAACTACAAGTGGCACTAGCTAATTTTCTTAATGAATTTCGATTCCAGCACAGAGCAAGCAGTAAAAATCAAACAATCACCTCAGGAGCCGCATCAACTGAAAAGTCACTGTTGCTGAGGTACTGTATATGCAAAAGTGTATTTTTTCTGTATCAAATCTATTCGTTCCTACATTCCTTATTCAAGTTTCATTACCTGCAAGAAACTTCAAGGTAGGTTTTAATATTTGATGAAAGCTATTTTGATCCCCATCATCACTCGTATCCGAAAAACCTATGAATTACAAAATCAACTTCGATGTGACTTTCAAAAACCTATATATTCGTAGTTCACCCAATGTTTCGAAGTGTTGAGAATCGCACCGTCGCCCAAAGACGGTTCTGAATGTTCGAACTCTGAGTGATCATCGAACTTCGATTCACTATTAAATTGGTACCTATGGCATAATCCTCATCTCGTTTTCAAATCGCGGAATTGAGTGCAAATTACCGCACAGGAAAGGGATATTTTTCAAACATTTTGCTCAGGATAGTGAATGGCACAGGTGCCGTTCGATGAAATGAAAAGTTTTCACATGCCTTTGGGACGTTATCAGATGACGGTCGAAATTTGCAACCGGCTGTTGGAATATTTCATAGTGACAATAGGTCCATATTCCAGTTTAGAACAATATGCTGGTAATGATGGGAAAAAATACATGCGCCTTGATATTAAAGAATAGCTGTTTGTATAACAAGGGAAGGGAGGAAAGTGCTTCTTTTCCTAGGGCAGTAATCATTCAAGGAAGGGAAAGGCACTTCACCCTCATGTTATACAAATGATTTTTCCGCCTGTCTCAAATAACAAGTCATTTCCAAATAATTCATTCGTGATTGACAAACAAAATTTATTGAAGAAATAAAACTGAGAACTATAGGTACAGAATAACTTGTAGGCACCTTATTTTCATTTTTGCATCCTACATATATTTTTAATTTGTGGTAGAGTAATTGGAACAGATACAGGATGATAAGAATTTTGAATCTTGAGTTACCCTGTATCAATTCCAGTTAAATGTTAGTGGATATAGTAAAAATCGAAAGTTGAGATAGGGAGATGGAAGCCGTTTTGACCAATAATGAAAAATATTCAGCACAAAAAAATCCTAAATTTGAACACCCTAGAACACGCTAGACCTCTTATCCTGAGGTTCACAAGTTCATGATTCTTTCAAGTAGACAGGTTTCATATCTTCATTCCCAGATGAAATCAATTCTCTCGATCTCAGAGAAATTTTTCCAAGCATTTGTCATACATCCAAAAATAACCACAATCACTGTTCCAAATATGTGTTAGCTCATTTTATTCATTATATTGATTTTTGAACCAAGTATTATTCGAATATAAATATATCATCTTTCATCTACAGAATGTCTCATTTCAAACGGCTCCCCCTCTATATCTCAGCTATCAGTCGTGCGATCTTTACCAAATTCGTATCGGTATGAATAATCATCAATATGACCAGTTCTTCAAAGACAAACATCATTTTAGACAGTGTCGTGCATTTTTATTGAAATGCATAGGGATCAGTTTTTTATTAAATCATATTAGGCATTTTTTCACACGACAACTGACCTCATAATATTGTTCTTCATGGTTCCAAACACACATTTGTGGATTTTCATAAGATGCCTATAAAGGGTTTCAGAAAAAAAGGCACATCTAAACAGCATTTTTGCGAACGTAATAATTATTACCTCGGAATCGGTGAGTTCAACATAAAAAAGTATAACTTGTTTTTCCTCCCAAATCATGATTTTCTACCTACCGGAGCCATTGAACGTTCCAAAATTCGTAGTTGATTTGAAGTCACTATTTATTCGAGACTGAAAATGAAAAAAATGAATCCAATCCTGTTAATTCGGAATTAGGTGATTTTTTGTTTATGGCGGTTCGAAAGTATGAGGAATAATAATATGAGGTTAGATTTCCTGTAAAAAAATGCCTAATATGATTTTATGAAAAATCGACCCCTTTTTAGTTCAATAAAAACGCACTGCTCTGTCCGAAATGGTGTGCATCTCTGTAAAACTGATCATATTGATGGTTATTCATACCATACCAAATTTGGTTGGAATCGCATGACTAATAACTGAGATATAGAGGGGGCCGTTTAAAGTGAGACACGCTGTATGGTCAATCATCTCATGCGAGGTCATGAAGTTTCTAGTTTTATCTGTGAACGGCATTCTTTTCCCACCACCGTTACTAGAATGGAACAAATAAAACGCAACTTATATGAATCACAAAAATTCCATAGTGCACACAAACCCTCAGAAATGATTCAACAAATAGAAGTCTAGGACTGAAAGTTCCTATATATGAACATATATCTGGAATCAATTCGTTTTCAAGATACAGGCCGTCAAAATTCAAAATATTCATAGATTCCTCTTTTGTCCACCCTATATAGCTTGACGACAAAATCAAGTCTGTAATGTTACAGAAATAGTGCGAATATTCCAGAATATTACATATCATTATGATTATCCAGTAATCCGAACGAATGACTTGCAGCGGCGGATTTTCCGGTATGCTCATTATGCTCAAGCTCAGGGGTGCTCAGGGCCCGACCCTTGCAGGGGCCTTGCTGAGGCCCTAGCATTGCATCATCATTTCTCCATATCATTCGTTTGAATAAATGAAATAATGACAAAATAGTTATTTAACCAACTAGTGTATTAATCGCCTTTTAATATACAAGTTGGTTACGAAATTTTTCCGCCGACTATACTTCTCATTTCTCCTGCAATGAAGAAAACTTTGTTCGCGAATTCATCATTCATCCGGAAACTGCTAAGAATCACCCAGTAGCTTTGTTACTGACATTAGTGACATTTGACATTTGTCGAAATGATCAACATAGAAAATAAATTTCTTGTGTTAGAAAACAGGGATTAAAATCGTGTCAGAAACTTGAAAAGACGAACCCGTTAACAAAAAATCTTCGATGAAATCCATATTTTTGATTTAAATGCAGATTCCGTAAGTTATAGCAAAAACAATGAATGCACGCGGTGTATGTTTGGTTGCCTATAACACAATCGTGCATTAATAGACAAATCGTTTATTAATAGGGGTCATTAATGAACGATTTCATATACATTAAACTTAGTCGTTAATACGAGGTCGACAGAAAATAAATTTTATTTACAACCATATATGTAATATGTTGTCATTACTAACGTCGTTGAAGGTTGGGAAGTGTCATATTACACACCTCTACTTCCCGCCCTTACTCCCCGCCCTCAATCATGTAATATTTCAGATATGTTCAAAACGAAACAGAGATTCATTAATTTTGATCGAAATATGATGGTTGTAAATAAAATAGTATACAAACCTCGGTAGGAAGTCTCATTCCTGTCTCGAGATTATAGCTAATTTCACGCCAAGAATGAATCACTTCCCACCTCGGTGTGTAATATACTATTTCAGCGGCAACTACTCACCACACCACAGAAGAAAACCAAAACCTTACCTTGTTAAGAACCACACGTTTTTGAAGATATATGGAACTTGAAAAGATTGTTCCTATCTCAGATCATTCTTTCATTTCCAAGCAAATAAGGCGAGCATTTCGTATTAATTCTTATTTTCGATTAATATTACTGGATAGTAGTTGTATCAATATCGCGGAAGGCCGATTTTTGGTAGTAGTCATTTACGGTACCCAAGTGAAAATTTCCTCTGATTTGAATCCTTCATGATTCATATTATAAAAATTGTTGGAAAGTTTTTTTTTCACACCGTTAATGACGCTGCTATCTGAAATCTGCCTTCTGCGGTTGTTACAAGTTTACAACTACTATTCAGTCATATTTTATAGACATTGACAATCAACATGAACTCCTTATTTGTTTGAAACAAAAAATAATGATCTGAGTGAAAATTCAATATTTTTTATAACAGTTCCAATACTTCGAAAACTGTGAAGATTCTACTGAGGTCAAGTTGTGGTTTTCTGATAGGTTATATCGAAAACTTGACATGAGGGTTTTGGCTACTAATATCGTAGATCTGGAAAAACGCTCGGACAGGTCGATTTTAGTTTCGAGGGGGACATTGTGCCCTCTTACATGCAGCATTGTCACGTCAATCCTCGAGCAGGGGGGTGAACAACCCTTGAAATTTGAATAAGGAATAGGAGTCGAGTGGCATAGACCTATTATAGGTCTATGGGCACATCGTTTGAAAGCCCGTTGAATTCTCGAAACAACGGTCGTCAGTTTTTCAACCGGACTGAGCCATAATTAAGTTAAGAGTAAAATTCTTAACTAATGCTCGAAATGCGCACCTCCAACTTCCATGCAATGATACAGATTTTGTTGAAAACGTTCTCGAACATTTTGGGGCATGTCTGGGGTTATTTGGCGACATTCTTCTGTGATTCGTTGCCGTAAATCTGCTACTGAAGCTGGTGGTGTACTATAAATTCTGCTCTCCAAATGAACCCACAGGAAGAAATCTAAGGGAGACAGGTCTGCTGATCGTGGAGGCCATTCAATAGAACCTCGCCTACCAATCCAATGACCAGGGAATTGTTGATCTAAATATCACCGAACAGGCATAGCATAGTGTGGAGGAGCACCATCTTGTTGAAATATCAATTGATCTTTCAGATAATGATGGTCATTTTCAATAATATTCGTTAACATTGGATCAATTGTGTCTTCAGGCAGTTCCAGATACATTTCCTCTGTTAGATTGCCTTCTAAGAAGAAAAGGCCTACGATACGATCCCCAAAAATACCAGCCCATACGTTTAATTTTTGGGGATATTGCGCTTTACCTCATGAAATATATGGGG